CACAGTGAGATACAACTTCCCACCAGTCAGAAAAACTACTATCAAGAAGTCAACGAATACCGTGCGTTGGCGAGGATGTGGGGGAAAGGGACCCCCGGGACCTTTTGCTTTTCCTTTCTACTTTCCAGGCACATGTTCAGGTACACGTGGGTGGTTTTAGATGCAATTTCAGGAACCATAACATTTCATACATTGCTTTATTGTTGTTGTTGTTTTAAATATATCTTTATTGATTTCAGAGAGAGGAAAGGAGAGGGAGAAAGAGAGAAACATCCATGATGAGAGAGTCATTGATCGGCTGCCTCCTGCATGCCCCCAACTGGGGATCGAGCCTGCAACCCGGGCATGTGCCCTGGCCGGGAATCGAACCCCGATCGCCTGGATCTAGGTCGACGCTCAACCGCTGAGCCACGCCGGCCGGGCTGGCTTTGTCGTTTTAACTCCTCCTTGCCCATCTCCCGGTGCAGCTCCATATGCCATGAGCGCTGCAGGAAGGACAGGGCCGGGCCGGCATGGTATCCGCCCTGGCTGGGGCCCTGCTGGAGGCTCTGCAGTGAGCTGGCAGCTTTTCTTCTTCCCCGTTGACGGAACTGGGCTCTTCCCTCAGAGGCTGGCCAGAGAAGCCAAAGAGATGAGCCCAGAGTGGGCTGATTTTGTGGCTCATTAGGAAATTTATTTGTGGGATTTCAAATTTGACATCTGAAGCCAGTGTGAGATTTGGGGGCAGCCTGCAGCTTTCCTAGGTCCAGAAATTACATTTTTGAATTGGCTCGATGACTGAATGGCTGATGTATGAGATTTTGTTAAAATATCTGACAGGGGGCCCCAGCCAGCGTGGCTCAGCAGTTGAGCATTGACCTTTGATCCAGGAGATCTGGGTTCGATTCTCAGTCAGGGCACATGCCCGGATTGCGGGCTCAATCCCCAGTTGGGGGCGTGCACGAGGCAGTCAATCAATGATGACTCTCTCATCACTGATATTTCTGTCTCTCTCTTTCCCTCTCCCTTCCTCTCTCTGAAATCAATAAAGACATTAAAAAAATAATAAAATAAAATATAAAGTAAAATTTTTGAGGGGGGGTCCACAGAGGTTGGCTGAGTAGAGGAGAAGTAGATATGCTATTCCAGGGCTAGTTCCAGAGGTGGTAGGAACCAAAGATCCTGCCAACCTACTAGGCAGGTCACTGCAAGTTGGAACCCTAAATCCAGCTAGACACACAGGTGCTGGGCACTCTGGCATGGGGACAAGAATCAGCCAGGGAAGGTGTCCTGGACCCACACATGCTAATAGCTAATACAGAACGGGAGCCCACAAGGGACAGAACTGCTGAGGGCTGGGAGTCGGGGCACAGTAGGAGCCCAGCTTTTCTGGGGGTTCAAGGCCTCAGTATGGCTTCCTCAAAAGGAATCTCTAAGCTGGAGCAAGAATCTCCCATGTGGGAGAAGGAGCTTGTTATGAGTCACCCCGAGAACCAGAGAGGCTGTTGATGAATCTCTGCATGAAGGTATCAGCTCGGAGGCTGGACCAGGAGGAGGGTCTGTTGGCTTCTGGCCACTAAGGCAGGGACCTGTTTCCAAAACCTGGGGAGTTTCATGGGAACAAGGAAGGTGTCATTCCAACAGCAGGGCAAGGAAAAAGTGAGACTGATTTCCACACTGTCCACGTGTGTTCATCACACTGCTTCAGGTCAGTTCTGGCTAAATGGTTCTGTACGTGCCTGAATTACTGTGGTTGGAGAAAGCTGCTTTTATGATGACTGCAGAAACTTTCCTCTTTATTTTCTTTCAAGTCCTGAGTTCTGTGCATGCCTCATGCCAAGAAATGCCTTCCTCTGCCAGAGGTCTGAGACACGGAGGTCATGCCAAGAATTTGCGCCACAGAAGTTTTATCAGGGCCCAGCAGGGTTGAACCTCTGGCATTGGCAGTGGAAAAATAAACAAGATCAGGAGCTTTGAACCACAAAGGCAACCTAGTAGAAAATTTTTATAAAAGAATATGGGATAATGGGGAGAATGTATCCAGAATCTGCAAATGAGTAGCTACAGGTTTACAAATGGAGAGAATTACCATGAGTCCCTTTTCTCTACATCAGAGCTCATCTGCAGCATCAAACTCTCCTGGCCATTTGTAAAGGCAGAGCCCCACAGGCAAATAGGTGATAACTTACAATTTTATGGTGCCAGAGACAGTATAAAAATTATAAATATGCCCTGGTGGCTCAGTTGGTTGAGCACGGTACCATGCACCCAGAGGTCACTGGTTTGATTCCCGGTCAGGGCACATGCCGGGGTTGTAAGCTCAGTACCCAGTAGGGGGTGCGCAGGAGGCAGCCAACCGATGGTTCTCTCTCATTGATGTTTCTCTCCCTCTCCCTTTCTCTCTCTCTCTAAAAAAATCAATAAAAACATTTCCTAAAAAATTATAAATAGGTGATTCTAAAGTCACGTATTATTTCAAAGGCCATGACATACTTGATCAACCATTGACTTCAGAGAAACATCAAAGGGTCGATTCTGTCCTGAGACGCACGTAACCTCCGTGGTGAACATGGCACGGCACACTGTGTTCTCCTGCCTAAATTGTACATTAAAGCCAATACCAGCGCGTTATCCCGAGACCACCTTCCCACGACAGAGAGGACAACACTATGGCAAAGATCAGTACACAATTAGGTAACTAAGACTTTGGCTGGATCCTTCAGATGCCTAAGAACCTCGGAGAGAAAAGGACCGGCTCCAAACAAAATTAAAGAAGAGCCCGGCCGGGCGTGGCTCAGCGGTTGAGCGTCGACCTAGGATCCAGGCGATCGGGGTTCGATTCCCGGTCGGGGCACATGCCTGGGTTGTGGGCTCGATCAATGACTCTCTCATCACTGATGTTTCTGTCTCTCTCTCTCCCTCTCCTTTCCTCTCTCTGAAATCAATAAAGATATATTTTTAAAAAAAGAGAGAGAAAGGAGACTTTAAAAAAATCTTGTGAGGTCCCCTCTAGCTTTGAGATTGGTACTCTGTACCCCACACTCCTCCCCACTTCAGAGGGCCCCACACTGGCCCTCCATAAGTGTCCAGGTTCTCCCCCTGTATCTCCCAGTTCTGACTCCTACTG